CAGTGGGAGGAGATGTGTCCCAGGCTACACAGAAGCGTGGAGCTTTATTTCCGGAAGGCGCACCAGAGGAGACCACCTACCCTCCATGCTGGTGCCCCACAATCCTGTCACGTCATGGGGTACCTGATCCACGCAGCATGCATTAAAGAGTCGTGGTGGTGACCACGACCTCCTCTAGCTGCTTCAGAAGCTCCTCAGGCTGCGGCGAGAACATGCTAGTGTCCACTTTCTGGAAGTCTGGGTGGGCCACCACGGACGCCAGCACCTCGGCAATCCGGCCGATGTCGAAAGCAGCCTGCTGGGGGCCCAGCACGCTGCCCTCGCCACCCTCACCCTCCACTTCATCAGGGCCCATCCCCTTCGCCAGCAGGAGAAGCCTCCTCTCAGCGATGATCTTGAGGAAGCGGTAAAATTCTTCAAAGTTGATCCCAGAGCAAGCCCTCATGATGACCTGGCCAGAGAGGAGCAGCCAGTGAGCCACAGCTTGCTCGCGGCTCCAGGCAAGTATCTGCTGACTGTGGGCAGGGCCCAGACCACAAAGGATCCAGAGACTTGGCCCAGTTCTCGAGGATGGGGACAGAGATGACTGGGGGTCAGCCAGCGATGGGATGGGTCTGAGTCCTGCAAGCTGGAAACCCCAGTGACCTGCCCCAGGCCCAGAGGGACCTTCACACAGGCAGACCTAGAGGCTACCACGCCCCCAAGACCACAGCTCTAGCCCCCTCTGAGAATGTAGGCTGCCCTGGGGGCTGCCCCACACCCTCCCCACACTGCAGCCATGGCTCTGCAGAGCCCCTCCCCAGTCCCCACTGTAGCCCTGTGGAGCCCCCTCCCCAGTCCCCACTGCAGCCCTGCGGAGCCCCTCCCAGTACTTCCCACACCCCCATCCTGTCCAGGCTGGCCTACCTGGCAATGATGGTGCCAGTCAGGCATGGTGTCCCTCCACTCACTGACCTCCTGCTGCACGGCACAGAGCTCTTGCTGCAGGAAGTGCCACATGTTGGCCAGGTTACAGCCATTGACCCAGTTGTGGTTGATGGAGATGGTGTCCTCCTGGGAGGGGTGAGGCAGAGGTGTCCCCATGAGCCCAGGGCAGGTACCGCCCCTCCCCCGGCCTGGAGGTCCTTCCAGCCCTCCCCAGCCCTGAAAGGGCTGCTCTTGTGTCCCAGAGGTGCCAGCAGGGAGAGCGGGCTGGTGGAACCTGGCCTGCACGCAGGCTCTCCTAGACAGGGTGGGGTCAGCAGAGGTGGGCCTAAACCCTCTCTGTGGAGAGGCATCTGAGAACATGCCAGGGGTGAGGACTGGTGGGCCGGCCAAGGGGCAGTCACAGGGGGAGACAGACTCTCTGGGGCGGGAGCCACACCAGGAGGACCCCAGGACGTGTCTCCCTGGCCCATCTGGGCCATGCTGCAGGCATGTGGGATGCGGTGTGCCCACCCTACCAGGTTGTGGACTTGGTGGTGCCAGCCACTGGGCACAAACACCATCTCGCCCGCCTCCTGCGTGACCTCCAGCGGGGGGCTGCAGTGCTCACGAGTGGGGTACAGACGGCGGTCAAGGAGTGCAGGGGAGGTCACATCGTAGGGCAGGCCACCATGGCAATCCCGCAGGGCTTCTTCCTGCCCTGGAGGAAAGAAGAACCACTTTTTCCTCCCACAAATGTTGACAGACCAGCTGAAGGAGCGGAAGATGTCGGCGTGAAATGGTGACCTGTGCAAAACATCCCCTTAGTGCCTCTTGGCTGGGTGCCGTCTGGTTCTTTCCAGTGGGACGGCCACAGGCAGAGCCCCGGGGGGGAGAAGTGGGTTAAACTGGCCAGAAACAGGGGCTCTCATGGAGTGGATGGGCTTCAGGACTGCATGCAGGGAAGCAGAGGGGACGAGGTGCCAGCAGGAGGGAGGAAGCGGACAGACTGTACCAGGTGCCAGTGGGCCCCATGTAGACAAAGCGGTAGTCGTCCACATCCAGAGAGTCCCAGTACTCGTTCAGCCAGTCGGATGAGAAGTACACAGGCAAGGTGAAGACGTCCTCCGCCGATGAGTCCCTGGAGGGGGTGGCAGGGGGCTGTGGCAGGAGTGGCTAACAAGATGCCAGATCCTAAGCATTCTGGAATGATGAGTAACCCTGAGCTGCCTTCCAGAGCCAGTGCCAACTGACCACCCAGCGCCAGTCCAGCCACCAGATGACCACAGCCTCCATGGCCCAACCACAGTCACAGCAGGTAAAATGGCTTTGGGGGCGCATCGACCACACAGGCAGGGACCTGACTGCTCCAGAACTTTCCAGCACCACTTCTAGGATTTCACCCTCTGGCTGGACTACGGCTCCAGATGCCTCATCTGCATCACCCTGTCTTTCCAGAGTCTGGGGACCTCTGTGCTTTCACCCCACCAGTGACCTCCAGTCTGAGTGGATGCGAGACCACAGGCCCATATATGCTGAGATCCTTCTCTCCTACCTCTCAACACTCCAAATCCCTCTGGTCCAAAAACCTGATCCCACAACCAAGCTGATGGGGCCCCAGGCACAAGAGCACACCAAAGCAGCCCAAGGGAGTGGGTAGCCCCCCCCAACAACATGCTGGAACAAGCTTCTGGAGCCACTCACACATCTCTCATGGTCACAGGCCACAAGGGGGGGAACCCCAGGAGCCCCAAACCACCTGTAGTTACCCAGAACACCGGCCACTCCCTCTGCGGCCATGCCTTTATGTGCCATCAGACTCCTGCTTATCCTTCAAAACCCTGCTCCAATGTCATGTCTCTGATGGCCACCTCTGCCTGCCTGACCCAAGTGTTGCTTGGTTCTTTCTTCTATGGTTTCCAGGGTTTCCATATGTGACACTCAGCCAAAATCAGCCACCATATAATCACTGAACAAGTTTCTCGAACAAGTTCTCGTGCAATACCTAGAACGCACACCAGAAAACTCACTTATTGTTTACTGGAAGCCTGAATCCACAGTGCAGGAGCATCTGGGTCTACAAGTCCATACGTGCTGCTGGAACAGGAGTCCCTGAGGGCCAGGACCTGTGTCTGGTCTGTGAGGAACAAGCAGCACTGGGGCAGAAAGCACCCAGGGCATGCTGCTGCCAAGTGCACTTTTGGATTAGTCTCAGGAACCTCAAGGGAGCGAATCTAGTCTCAGTTTACCTTTCTGAACCTTACTTTCCACACCAGCAAAACGAGAATTCAGTCATTCACTCATCCATCTGACACTAACTTAACACCCACTCTGAGCCCTGTGCTGCTCGCTGGGGTCTGAGTACAATGGTCGATGCTTGTGAAAAACACACCCCTGAGCAGGGGAAAGGGACAAAAAAAACCCAGGACGACCTCAGAGAGTGGGAACACAGCAGATGGGACGAGGCTGCCCATGCATGTCAGAGCTCCCAGGGAAAGAAACGAGTGCTAGGTGGGGAGACCACAACACGCCTCCTTACAGACAGAGAGTTGCTGGTCAGTGATGGAGACTTGCTGGAGACTGGAAACTCCCAGTCCAAGGTGTACAGGCACTGGCCTAACTTGGAAAAGCAGGGCTGGAAAGGGAAGGCCAGTCCTAGTGGCACCTGAGAGGAAAGGCGAAGGCTGAGTACTACCTGCCAGCTAGAGAGGGTGGAGTCCTCAAAGAGGGTTCTGGGCAAACGTGAAGCAGAAGAGTTGGCCGCGGGAGCCCACATTCCTCACAGTCACCCACCCTGTGATTGAAGAGGACGCCTCCAACCGCGGAAGAGAGCCAGGTCTGTGCGTGCCGAAACACCCTGGCTGGGGGCGGGGCGCCTGGCTGGCTCAATCCACTGAGCGTCGGGAGTCTTGATTTGTGCTCAGGTGGTGGGTGATTCCAGAACCGCGAGATCCAGCCCCGGTGTTGTGGTCTGCGCTGAGCGTGCAGCCTGCTTGGGATCCTTTCTCTCCCTACCCCTCTTCCCCCCCTGAAACAAAATCCCTAACTGGGGAGAAGATGAGCTGCCCCCCGTGTGCAACCAGGGCTCGTTTAGGTACAGGTAAAACAGCGCCCCTGCGCGCGCAGCGCCCCTTTACCTGCACAGGTGCCAGTCTTTGAGATAGAGGCAGCCCCGAGGAGAGAAATAGCCACCCTGGATGTACTCTTGCCAGTAGCTGATGTAGTCTCTGAGCGGCATGTGTTCTTTGGGGTTCGAATTGTACTCCTGGACCCCGCAGTTGGCAACAGGCACAACGACGTCTCCTGAAACAACAGGGTCCGGCACTGACTCCTCCGAGGCTCTCCGAAGACGACCACCCTCGGTACGCGCTCCCACCGCCGGCTGCCGGCCCCCGATCCTCACCGTACTTCCGAAGCAGGTGCTCGAAGTTGGGCTTCCCGCTGGACGTCACCCAGTGCCTGCGGCTGCCCCAGCCGGCGGTGAAGGAGCTGGAGAAGACGCACGGCATGTTGGGAAGCAGGTAGCCCTTGAAGAAGTCGGCGTAGGAAAACGAGTCCGGATTCTCGATGAAGTCCACGCAGCCTGGGGGCGGGCAGGCGCCGCCTGGGGGCCGCCCCTGCAGGCCTCGGAAATGATTTTCGGCGTAGACGCGCGTCTCTCTGTCCATTCCGGCACAGGCTGGGCGTCCGCGCCGGGCGGGCGGCGCAAAGGCCGCCGCTGCCCGGTGAGGGAAGTACGCCCGGACTCTCGCCTCCCCTTGTCCGGCCCGAAGACTGGGAGTGATCGGAAGTACTTGCTGAAACTACTTCCGGAGCAGATGTTAGGGGCACCGGCTGCTCACGGCCTCCGTGCCGGCCGGAGCGAAAACCGCGATGCACAGGCTCTCAGAGCCCACGGTCGGCCCGGCGCCGCGGAGCGGAATTAAAAGCATGCGGGTAGAGTTCCTGCCCGAGTACGAAACAGGGAGCGCCGGGCACTGGACGCATGCGCGTAGCAGCCTGCGGGCCTCATTCTGCGCAGGCGCGGGGGCGTCCCTTAGCACCTCTGAAGCATCTGGTCCCTCCCGCGTCTGAGATTGTCAAGCCGCGCCAGACCCGAGTCTCACGGTCTGAGGGCCTCCCGGGTGACACAGGTAAGCGGCGCCCGCACTGTGCGGCTGGGCCTCTGCCGGAGCCCGCCCACACCTCCCGCGGCACAGTCCCGCCTTCCACTGCTGTCGCGGTGAGAACCCCTCCTCTTCCCAGCGCGCCACTGACCAGGGGAGATGGTGGGGCGTGCACTGGGCCGACGAAGGGGCATGGGGGTCAGAGGTGGGGCCCTGGGGAACGCTGGGGGCCCAGGGAGTGATGGGGACCAGGAGGGGACGCTGGGCACCTGGAGGGGATGCTGGGGTTCCGAGGGTGATAGGGACCTGGAGGGGATGCTGGGAACCTGGAGGGGATATTGGGGGACCTGGAAGGGATTCTGGGGGACCTGGAAGGGATGCTGGGGGCCCAGAGGGTGAGGACCTGGAGGGGATGCTGGGAGCCCAGGGGGTTGATGGGCCCTGGATGGGATGCTGGGTACCTGGAAGGGATGCTGGGGGACCGGGAGGGGATGCTGGGTACCTAGAAGGGATACAGTAGCCCAGGGAGTGATGGAGACCAGGAGGGGACGTTGGGGGCCCCGGGGGGATTATAGGGACCTGAAGGGGATGCTGGGAACCTGGAGGGGATGATGGGGACCTGGACAGGATTCTCGGGGCCCAGGGTGTAATGACCTGGAGGAGATGCAGGGCCTAGGGAGTGATGGGGACCTGTAGGGGATGCTGGGGGCCCAGGGGGTAATGGCCTGGAGGGGATGCTGGGGGCTCAGGGGGTGATGGGGACCTGGGGGGGATGCGGGGGCTCAGGGGGTGATGGGGACCTGGATAGGTTGCTGGGGGCCCAGGAGGTAATGGCCTGGTGAGAATGCGGGGTCCAAGGGTGATGGGGGCCTGTAGGGGATGCTGGGGCTCAGGGGCTGATGGGGACCTGGATAGGTTGTTGGGGGCCCAGGAGGTAATGGCCTGGAGGAGATGTAGGGCCCAGGGGGTGATGGGGACCTGGGTGGGATGCTGGGGCCCAGGGGGTGATGGGGACCTGGGTGGGATGCTGGGGGCCTGGAGGGGATGCTGGGGCTCAGGGGGTGATGGGGACCTGGATAGAATGCTGGGGCCCAGGAGGCTAATGGCCTGGAGGGGATGTGAGGCCCAGGGGGTGATGGGGACCTGGGTGAGATGCTGGGGGCCCAGACGGTGAGGACCTGGACGGGATGCTGGAGGCCCAAGGGGTGATGGAGGCCTGGA